ACTTACATTGGCTACTAAGAAAGTTAGTAGCCGGTAGTCATTGGGTTAATGGGAATCCTCATTTAGTCTATATAAGCAGTAAGCTATTCAAACAATGTCAAAACATTAACAAGAAGATTCTCCCCCAGTGAGACCATGTTAACTATCGAAAAAATTGTAAACTTTATTAACTAACTTTGCAAAGCATCTTTTACCAGACTTTTTGTCAGAGTTTTAAATATGTGATTGGGCTGCAATTCTTCTACAGTAGGTGTCTGTGACTTGTTAGTGATATCTTTGGGCAATACATTGGCTACTAAGAAAGTTAGTAGCCGGTAGTCATTGGGTTAATGGGAATCCTCAGTTAGTCTATATAAGCAGTAAGCTATTCAAACAATGTCAAAACATTAACAAGAAGATTCTCCCCCAGTGAGACCATGTTAACTATCGAAAAAATTGTAAACTTTATTAACTAACTTTGCAAAGCATCTTTTACCAGACCTTTTGTCAGGGTTTTAAATATGTGATTGGGCTGCAATTCTTCTACAGTAGGTGTCTGTGACTTGTTAGTGATATCTTTGGGCAATAAACGGACAGCACATAATCCTTTGTTTTAAAATAATATATATTCAAAACAAGTCAAACGTATGTACAAAAATTCTTTATTCTATAGGATATCACAGTTTTATCTAAAACTAAATTATTCTTTTTTTTTGTCAAAAGTCCACAAAGGTCGATTCAATTACTTTAGAACCCAATTGACAAGACATATTATTTTACCTGTCTCTCCTGTTACAATACAGCTGTGAAACACACTATAGAAATCATCCTTTAAGGCTAATCATTTACACGCTGGCTAACTTCACATCTTCTAACTTTTTTCTGACTGAACTTAACTTGCGCTCGCTTGATTGCCTATATATATATATATATATATATATATATATATATATATATATACTACACTAGACGTACGTACTATATCTCGACAACGTAGGAGAGTGTCTATTGAGTTAGTTAAATAATAACTACACAGTAGTAGAACGT